GCGAAATCCGCCGAAACGTCAGCTCATTTGTGAATAAAGAATAATAACACCTCGCGTTTGCTCAACAAAAATACGAAGGACATCTTTCTGGATTATTTTATTTTGACTTATTTTTGGATATATTCGTAAAGCTAAAAAACGAATTAAAAAGGCCTTGTTTTACATGCTTCCCACGATTATGTAATTACTTCTCCACAAAAATCTATAACACATTCTTTTACGTAATTGTAAAAGAGAAATGGAAACACGAAACCTGCACGACATATCAGCTGAAATATGTAGAAAGTGGCATGCGCTACTAAAGTGCACCACTTCTGCAGCTGTTAGGAAACGCGCTAGCGTCCGCCAGAAGTTATATGCTTAGTGGGAAAACAATCCTGCGAACAACAAAACGCACATCTAAGACTTCAAAAACCCGGTATGTAAATATCCCAAAAATCATGGATCTTGGGAAAATAATATGGATTAAGATTGGATTTGATGTAAATCAGTCCACGACCTTAACAACGATGACTGTTTCCACATTACAAGCAAAATACCACAGATGAAAAACAGCTAACATTTACTCTATACGTGGCAATTCTAACTGCTCGCAAGCAACATGTTACTAAGCTATTCGTTAGCTCTACTGTTTGTCTATTTACGGATTTTGTCCGCATGCAAGAAAAAAAACACCCACAATCTGTGCCTTTACTGAAAACTTACCACTAAGCTTTACACTACGCATCATATTATTAAGCATATCAGGACTTAGAATATTGAGCATTTCGTCGTCGTCAATTACTTGTCGTGCTGGCGGTGTCGGCTTGCGGCAGGTTCGCCGTGGTGGACTGTCCTGAGGAGTGTCCGCCGTCGCGGTCGTCGTCGAATCGATGGCCTGCTCCGGAGAGTTCTGCTGCAGACAAGCCGCACCGACTCGCAGGACGTCGTCGCGCGTCACCGTCTCGACCACCTCGTAGGTGATCAGTGCGCGCGGCGAGCCGCGACTACCGCAGGTGGCGGCCGCGACGCCGTCCACGCAGAGCCGCCGCGGATAACGCGGATGCATCTGAAGCGACTCGAGTCAGCGCACGGAAACCCGACACTGGCGAAGAGAATCACGAACTAACGAACAATCGCCAAACAACTACTAAACCATGAAAGAACATCATGGATACACAGTTCTGAGAAAAGATGAGTTCCATAAAGAAAGTTGCATTTAGAACAAAAAGAAAATTGTACATATGTTCAATATCAGAAGCAGTTTAAGTAAATTAACAAAAGGAGTAGCTTTGAGTACTTCTTAATCTGAATAAATGGACCACCTCTTTAGATTCTTTGTGATCACATTAACAATGCTTTCAAAAGTAGTAATAAGTTTGTCATGACTCCTGCTTAAGGAAAACCTACCTAAAAGATAAACCGCTTGAACACCTTATGCAAACGCCATCCTAAATCACGAATAATGAGTTTCCTTCTCAAAGCCAGAAAAGTCGAGAAAACCACATGATAATATCAACTTTTGAGCTAGAAAGGTAGAAAACACTAATTTATGAATAATATTCATGAAGTTGGAATATCTAAATATTTGCCATCGTAGTAACTACTAAACTATAAATTCCGACAAAATGATCCCTATCAGTAATCACTAGGTGGATAAACGTTCGATTCGTAATAAAATCGGTCCCCACTAACTAATTTACAAATTGAAGCTAATAAATTAGTTTCGGCAGAGTCGGTGATGAAAGCTGATGATGTGCAGAAAGTGGAGCCTTATATCTCTCAGATATTGGGTGAGATAAAAGTATTTAGCGTTGTACTAACGATGGATGAAAACTTTGAAAAAGCTTAGCAAATTTGATGATGAAAAAATGCGGTACGCCATAATATCAAATTGGTAAAAAAGTTGTAACTTTCTGAAGAGAACATTTTACAGTGTAATAAACGTGTCCACCCAAGTACAAAATGATGAACTTCACCGTACAAAGCACGGAAGAATGAATTTGAAGGCGAAATTCCAATGAGAAAAAATTTATAATACAGAATAGACGGAAGCTCGACTATTATTACATTATTATTATCATCACTGTTATTACTTAAAAAAAACCACTGCGCCCAATGACGTAAACTCACACACAATCCCACAACGACAATCCCAACAAAAAAGCAGCAATCGAAAGCTAAATCCGAACTTTTAGCTTTGAGGGGAAGTAGATCATCGGTGATTTGATAAATAGAAAAAGATCATTAACTGTAGTTAAGTGGAACTGTTTTAGGATAATGGCTAAATTTTAGCCGATAATGGTAATTTGGCGCGATCCGAAAGTTTAACAATGCCTTCTTAAAGTTACAAACAATAAAGAAGTGAATCAGATAGATGCCCAAAAGAAAGTGATGAACTGCTGAACAGGAAGAGAACGGAAGGTAAACCGCAGGTGAGCGCGCCGGCACTTTGTATGGAGTAAACGCAATGGAGTGTGTGGAACGTTTGAATATAACAGCTAATGAATCCGATTCATCCGAAAGCTATCGAATCCTCAGAGATGCACATAGAGCCAGAAACTAGAAAAAGAGAGAGAGAGGGAGAGAGAGAGAGAGAGGGAAATGGAGAGTGGATCTAGAATGGCAAGAGAGAAGTGGAACGAAGCGGTAAGAAAGAAAAAGAGAAAGAAAGAGCAACAGAACCAAATGAGAACAAGAAGAGATGAATAAAAACTGCAAGGCGGAAATGACCCGAGGAGAAACAAGATTTCTAATTTTTGCGATAGAAAAGACGGCTGAAGTAGCACAGCCACGGACAAATTTTCGTAATTTTCACGGCTACTTCAACCATAATTAAATAGTAATTTTCACTATGAATCAAATCCTATAATGTATTCCATGGATTCTACGATGAGAGTTGGACGAAATCACAAGCCTTGTAATCAAAAAATGAGAGAAACGTAACTTTTCAAATACATGCTTTGCTTGTTTAATTCTAACTTTTCACACATGAACAATATTATTCACATATTACTAGCAGTACACTACAGTAATGAACAAAACACGTGGCACGACACGAATTCAATTCCAACTTTTTGCTACCACCTTTAGCAAAACTGAATGACTGTTAATTGCATTGAGTATGGAACTGAAAAATGGCTTATACCCCTATAATCAGTTTTCAAACCCTGTTAACCACGTAGCGATTGCTGATGCAACAATTCCTATTAAAACGGTAACGCCTACCATATAAATAAAGCTATTCAAACTATCGCCGCGAAACAAAAGCGAAAAGATGGGAAAATGGACGGGAACATCGGTGAAAAGGAGAACAGCAAAAGAGACATAAATCTTAACTAGAAGCAGTTGCATTCCTCTTCCTATAAAGGCTAAAATTTTCCAGAAATACAAAACAGAAAAGATATCAAACATACTAGGGCTTAGGAGAAAAGCGCAAAGTTGCATCACCATGTCAGACTTTCTATTTATTTTCGAATCCGACGTAATTCAAAGCTGCCTGCACAATGAAAGCCATGCACAACTAATTGGTGGCTGCGAAAGCTTCGAAATGCTCAAAAAAGTGAGAAAAACTAAATTAACTCGCGTTCAAACTTTCTCAATTCTGCATGAATAATTCTTTGCCGTTTCTGCTCATCGAAAGCACGAAAGACAACCCCCAGAAAAACTATAAACCCTCAAAGAGAAAACTTTAAATGCACTGGGAAATAGTATACAAGTAGTATAAAGTGAGGATTAGAACGAAGAGAATAGAGACGGAGTAACAGCTGAAACATAAGTAGTTAGCAGTTAATATCCAACCTTTCCAAAACAATTTCGACATACTTAGTGGCAAAAGTATCTGAAACTGAATAACAAGCTATAAAAACAACAAATCTATAGCTAAACCACAAGAACAATGTGTATACATTCTTTGATAAGCTTGCAAGAAGTAGGTAAATAACGTTTATTTACGGCTGACATTTCGACGGTACACAAGAATAATTTCGGTGAGCAATAAGAGAGGTCTGCTACTTAATCATATTGTATATGATCGACCACTATCGACTCGGATCGTCGGCTCTGATGAAGATGAAGACGAAGACGCCACATCGAGAAGAGGAACAACTATGGACCATCGACAAAGATGATTGGCTCTGATGAAGACAAAGAAGTCGAAACGTTAGCCGAATAAACATCTCGTATCAACATCGTGTAAGTTCAACAATATAAACAAATGTTGATTATTGTAGTACCAAGGTTAAGTGACGGTTTCAAAATCACATTGCAGTCTAACTTCTTATGGTTAATACCAAATGAAGCCCGTTAACGCATAATGAGAGCTCAACGCATAAAGAACTTCCGAAATGTTCGAGTGCTTAATCAGTGAAAACGTTGCATCATACTATGCAACTAACGAACTTCGTGAAAACCGATATTAAAGTGTGCACCACGAAATTTTATGTTTAATAAGTACCCCTATAAATATATATAGCTTAAGTAGACATGGAACGACAAACAGCTAGACATCTTTCAGAGGAGAATCTTGAATTTTTTAGTTAAATGCGCTATTCACCCATAAAGAATAAACTACGAATAATTCGTACTATATCCAACAGCGAATTCTTATCAGATTGAAGTTTCTTTGAGATCATCAGACAATACAATAAAGCCAAAGGAATTCCTGTTTGATTGGATGTGGCGCTACAAGACATTTATTGCCGCACTCTTTAAGAACTGTAATAGAAAGAAAATCTTTCAATAACAATGAAAACTACTGTGCTGAAGTGATGCATAACAAGATTCTTTAATGAACCAAACAGCATTGGTAGAAAGCATATGAAGACCACAACCTTAAAGGCTGAAGTGACCGTTGCATAGGCATCGGTTTGAAATTCTCAAGCAAAATGCCATTGCTTCCTTCCACAAATCGTCCAATATCAAACGTCTTCAAAGAAAAAAAAAGTACTTCATTCTATTGGAAACAGACGAGGTAGTGGGACGCAAGAAGAGGAGAGAACAGTGATAGAGCAAAACAGTTCTAGTAAGGGTTGTACTCTTTAGATGTCATATCTCTTCTCTGTAGATGAATGCCACTCACATACACACGCACACAATCCCATGGAACACAACAAAGTGAATTGATTAAACGCACTCGTGAAGCGTTGCCAGCAAAGCCGAATGAGAGCGAGAGAACGCGAGGAGACGAGGTAAAGAGAAAGAAAGGGGAAAATGAAGTTGAAAGGCAGAAGAGGCAAACGAAATGTAGGAAGAACTGTGCACAGAAAAAATGTTCACCACGCTTATCTTATGTTCTTATTGCAACATGAAATTGCGGACCAAAAAGTTTCACTTTTTATAGCTGAAGACTGCGACCACATACGATACTATACTATGCTGCATAGATCGTTCAACTTCAAAGGGGCTTGTCCGCTAGTATAACCTTCTCTTTATAACCAGTCTACGAGAATCAACACAAAATAAAACACTTCGCAAGCTAACATCTTAAATTCGTCTGGATTTAAAATACTACTTACTAAGTTTGCTTGAAAGGAAAACTTGAAATACTTTACAATTCGCAGTATAAAAGAAACCAAGAAATCTGCAATGACATTTGATAGAGCGTTACTTCTTCCATTTCTGTGAAGTTAGCAATTCAATTAGTCTACTGACTGAGAAATTACCAGCTGTATTTCGATTAAACAGAAAGCGCGAGTGTGTGATATACACTGAAATATCTAAAGTATCGAGTGTCAGTAGTTTCACACAATTATGACTTCTCAATTTTAAATGTAAAAGCTCCATCATACCGAAAGGAAAAACGTTGTTTGATCTGGACCAGGGTCCTTGGGAACTAGGAAAAGTTTTGCGAATATTTCAGCACTGCTGTGGTTAATCCCGAATATAGTTGTTTGTATACCTATTTTGTATGAAACCGCCTGGATTTACACTCGCCTTAAGACGGAAAAAATAAAAAATAAAAGCGTCTCTTCGAGGAAACAAAGAATAACCAACTTAGGTAAACACACACGTCCTTCAATAGGGGAAAGGATAGTTGAAAGAAAAATATTCCACGAATCAGTAACCTTT